AGGGAGAGGCGAGGTAGGCGGTAACTGTGACTGCGACTGGACAGGCAGAGGACACTCTACGGAGGGAGGAGGACAAGGAGGAGGAGCCTGCCCAAGAACCTGCTGAAGGAGCGGTACGAAGTACGGTCGCGGCCGCGCAGCGTCTCCAGAAGCAGAGGAGACTCCAGCGGCCGGGTCCACAGCACCAGCAGCAGCTCCACCGGCCGGGTCCTCAGCACCAGTAGTAGCTCCAACGCCCGGGTCCTCAGCAGCAGCAGCAGCGCCACCGCTCGGGTCCTCAGGTCCAGCAGCAGCTCCACCGTCCGAGTCCTCAGTACCAGCAGCAGCGCCACCGCCCGGGTCCTCAGCTCCAGCAGCAGCTCCAACGTCCGAGTCCTCAGCACCAGCAGCAGCTCCACCAGGCGGGTCCGCAGCACCAGCAGTAGCTCCAACGTCCGGGTCCTCAGCACCAGCAGCAGCGCCACCCCCAGGGTCCGCAGCACCAGGAGCACCACTCCGAAGACTGCAGCGCCGTGTGTACCACTCGCGGATCTGCTGAATGGGGGGGAGCTCCTGGGTAGGAGGGGAAGTACCGGGACGAGCTCCAGCAGCACCTCTCCGGAGGCGGCAGTACTCGAGGTACCTCTCCTGCAGCTGCTGGGAGGAGAGGGCTCCTCCAGGTGTAGCACGCTCAGGCTCAGCACCCCCAGACGCAGCACCCCCAGACCCAGCACCCCCAGGCTCAGCACCTCCAGGCTCCGCACCTCCAGGCTCCGCACCTCCTGGCTCAGCACCCCCAGGCTCCGCACCCCCAGACTCAGCACTCCCAGGCTCAGCACCCCCAGACGCAGCACCCCCAGGCTCAGCACCCCCAGACGCAGCACCCCCAGGCTCAGCACCCCGAGCAGGACGAGAGTCAACAGCTACCTCGACAGGCTCACCCGGGTCTACCTGGGACACACCTGAGGGAGCGGCACCCTGAGGGGGGAGGGGGTCTGGTACCTCAGCACCTGGAGCGAGGAAGAGAGGCGGGGGGGGGAGCGGGGCAGTGCGGTAGGGGAAGAGGCGGTAGTAGGGGACGGACTCGTCAAAAGTGACGTCCTGAGAGGCCAGGACACGCCGCGAGGTGGGGTGGTAGAACTGCCAACCAGGGGCGTCCGGGACAAAGCCAAGGAAGACGCAGGGGACAGCGCGACGGGAGAGCTTGTCCACGGACGTGTCGCGGACAAAAGCTCGGGATCCCCAGACCCGAAAATGCGACGCATCGCCAGCCTCTCCCGTCCAACGCAATGTCGGAGAAGTCTCGGGCAAGGAGACACGGGGCCAGAGGTTGAGCTGATGCGCAGCGTATCGGACTGCAAACGGCCACAGAAAATGGGGGGCAGCCGCATGGCTCAAGGAGGTACGAGCGACCTCCATGACCAGACCAATGCGGCGCTCAGCAACCCCATTCTGCTGTGGAGAGTCCGGAAGCGTGTACGACTGCTCAATGCCCTCCTGCTGACAGAAGGCCTCCAATAGGCCAGAGGAGAACTCCCCACCTCTGTCAGAGTGCAGACGCAGGACAGGGAAGTCGGAGCGGAAACGCTCACGGAGCTGGAGACGAGATCTGCGGATCCAAGGGATCAAGACATCAGGGACGTCACCCTTGGCGCGCAAGGGGAAGACCGTGGTGTAGCGCGAGAAGTCGTCAACAACAATCAGGAAGTACCTCTCCTGACCCTGACCACGGACGCGGGCTGGGCCCCACACGTCCATGTGGAGCGTCTGCAAGGGAGCAGTCGTCGAGGGAAAGGAGGAGGAGTGAGGAGCGGCGCGCTGCCGTCCCTCGACACAGGGAATACAGGGAGGAGCAGGCGAGTCGGGAAGGGGAGGGAGCACCCTGGGAAGACCAGCAACAAGGTCCCGCTTGTGCATGGCCCGAAGGCGCTGCACAGACGGGTGACCAAGGCGGTGGTGCCAAAGGACAGTCTCATGCGCCAGAGAGCGACACGAGCAGGGGGCGGACAGCTGACCTGACGCAGACGCAGACGCAGCTACCTGAGGGGACACAGTGGTCAGTGTGTAAAGGTCCGACCCCGGCTCCCGAGTGAAGGTAGCCAGGTGGCGACCCGTCCGAGCACACGTGCAGTGTGTCACGCGCTCGTAGGCAGGGGTGAACTGGTGAACACCCCCGTCCTGGAGCGCACTACCTGCCACCAAGTTCGTAGAGAACGAGGGGAGGTAGAGACCTGACAGCGTGCCGGACGGGACCGCCGGACAAGGAAGGACAGTGGAGGAGGTCGCAATGACCGAACCCCCAGAGGGGTCAGCAAGGGAGACAGCAACTGGCCGAGCGAGTGGCTCAAGGACAGTGCGGTCACGAAAGAAGGAGCGAGAAGCACCAGAGTCCAGTGTGAAGGTGTGCAGTGCTGCAGTCGACTCAGTACCAGGGGGCACGGACGCACGAGCACCTAGAGCAGCGGCCTCACCAGGACCTGTGGGAGCAGACGCACTAGCACCTAGAGCGGCAGCCGGACTGGCCTGAATGCCCGGGTCGGGCGGAACACGCAAGTACTGAGCACCCTCTCCACTAATAGACATCGCATACATGGCAGTGAGAATAGCATCAAAGTCTAAAGCCCAAATATCAACACCCCTCTTTTCCAGATCAGCCCAGCGCGGCAGCTCAGTGGCAGCAGGAAACTGAGTGCGCCACGCGTCGTTAAGGCGCGCGAAGCAGCGCTGCGTAGGGTGCGGCCTCCCACACTGCTGGCCGCTGCGGTCACCTGTGCGAATGACGTACGTGCAGGTAACGCTACGCTGCGCATACCACTCACGGGCGGCCTGAAGCGTCGGGGCGGGCTGCTGACTCGGGCCTCCGCCAGTGCCTCCACGACCACCACCCCCACCGCCGCCGCCCCGGCCACCTCCACCCCTGCCGCCACCACGACCACCTCCGCCTCCGCTGCCGCCTCCACCACCACTCCCACCGCTGCTGTCTCCTCCCCCACTGCCGCCACTAGTCTCCCCAGCCGCGCCTCCACTCCCACCGCCTCCACCCCCACCTCCTCCGCCACCACCCCCACCCCGGCCGCCCTTGTTCCTGCGGCGCCCGCTCGAAGCAGACGCGGTCCCGACCTTCTCAGCACCAAGAAGGTCGACAGCAGCAGCAGAGGCGACAGAGGGGAGGAGGGGGGAAGGGGAACACCCCTCAAAGAACGGGGTGCGGGGGTCGCCACGAGAGGTGCCTACAGCGACTATGCTCGCCTCGGCTGCAAGCAGTTCCTTCTCGAGGAGGGCAACAGTGAGCTCAGTGGGGGAGCGAGAGAGGAAGTGGTCCCTGACTGCGCGCAGAGAGTCAGGGAGCCGGGTGACGATGTGGTAGAGAGTGATCCAGAGCGGGGGGGGGTTGCTAGTGAGAAACTCGGCACGAAAGCGGGCCTCACTAGTCTTAAGGTGGGTGATGAGGTCTGCGACAGTGTGAAAGGAGGCTAGGTCGGGGAACAGGTAGGGGAGAGTGAGGCGGCCTAACGTGGCAGAAGCGGGTGAGGAGTAGCGGGCAACGACAGCGGTGTAGAGGTCCTTAGCAGTCTTGCACTGCCCGAAGTGCTCGCGCTCGTCTAGCGGCAGGGAGTTGCGAATAGCAAAGCGAGTGTGCGCATCACGGGTCTGCCACTGGGAACGCAGAGTGCTGTCAGCAGTCGAGTCAGGGGCAGTGGCATGGCCTAGGGCGTGGTCGTACAGTGAGATATCTTCCTTGGCAGTGAGCTGTAGGAACAGGTGCAGGTCATCGAGCCAGGTTTCGAACTTCACTGGACGGCCCTCGGCATCGAAAGCTAGAACTGGCGGACTAGCCATAGTGACAGTAGCAGTAGGAATCAGGCCGCTGGAAAGGTGTGCGGAGGGTCAACGGGGCCGGCGGGGCCGCTAGGCAAGGCGCGGGCGGGGTCGACTGTCCGTAGTGGCACACGAGCGGTAGTAGTAGGTATAAGGTAAACAGTAGGAACGAGGCCGCTGGGAGACTGTGGGCAGTGTCAACGGGGCCGGCAGCAGCGGCAAACGAGTGGTAGCGTACGGGCGGCAGCAGCAGTGGCGCACGGGCGGCAGCAGCAATGGCGCACGGGCGGCAGCGGCTTTGGCGCACGGGCAGTAGCGGCAGTGAGCGCGGTAATGGCGGCCGCAGTAGCAGCACACGGGCGGCAGCGGCGGTAGCGCACGGGCGGCAGCTGCAGCGGGCGGCGGGAGTAGCGGTAGCGAGCGCACGGGCGGGAGCTGCAGCGGCGGCGGCAGCGGCAGTAACGCACGTGCAGCAGCGGCAGCGGCGCACGGGCGGCAGTGGCGGCGGCACAGCAGCGGCAGCGACAGTGGGCGGTGCGCAAGCAGCAGCGGCAGCAGCGTACGACAGCGGCAGCGGCAGTGGCGTACGGGCGGCTGCGAGGCCTTAAGGGGCCGTAAGAACCGAGGCGCTCTAAGGCGCAGGTAGGTAGGTAGGTAGGTAGGTAGGTAGGTAGCGGTGGGCCCTAAGAACGGTCCTAGCGAAGGACCTGCTCTGAAACCATGTCAGAATGAACGGACTGGAATGATTGAACTAACAGAGAAATCAGTACAAATAGCAAACCCTAGAATTGTGTACCCCATATAGGCTAACCCACTGTAGCCTAACAAACGCAACATATATAATGTTTGACACAGGCGCCTAACCCGCAGGCGCCTAGAGCGCTGGCGCCAATCCCGCTGGCTTGCGCCTATCGCGCTGGCTGGCGCGTATCGCGTTGGCACTTAACGCGCTGGCGTCTTAACGCGCTGGCGCCTATCGCGCTGGCTGGCGCCTATCGCGCTGGCTGGCGCCTATCGTGCAGGCGCCGCGCTTAACGCGTTGGCGCCTATCGCGCTGGTGCCTAACGCGCCAGAGCCTAACGCGCTGGCACCTATCGGGCATTCGCCTAATCCACAGGTGCCTAGAGCGCTGGCGCGTAACGCGCTGGCGCCTATCGCGCTTGCACCTATCGCGCTGGCACCTTTCCCGCTAGCTGGCGCCTATGGCGCTGGTGGCAATCCCATTGGCTTGCGCCTATCGCGCTGGCGCCTACCGTGCTGGCGCCTGTCGCGCTGGCGCCTGTCGAGTTGGCGCCTGTCGCGCTAGCGCCTGCCACGATGGCGCCTTTCGCGCTAGCGCCTGTCGCGCTGGCGCATGTCGCGTTGGCTGGTGCCTATCGCGCTGGCTGGCGCCTATCGTGTAGGCGCCGCGCCTAACGCGTTGGCGCCTATCGCGCTGGCGCCTAACGCGTTAGCGCCTATTGCGCATTCGCATAATCCACAGGCGCCTAGAGCGCCTGGCGCGTAACGCGTTGGTGCCTATCGCGCTGGCGCCTATCCCGCTGGCGCTTTTCCCGCTGGCTGGCACCTATCTCGCTGGCGCCTATCTCGCTGGCGCCTATCGCGCTGGCGCCTATCCCGCTGGCTGGCGCTTATCCCGCTGGCTGGCGCCTACCGCGCTGGCGCCTACCGTGCTGGCACCTGGCGCGCTGGCGCTTGTCGCGCTGGCGCCTGTCGCGCTGGCGTCTGTCGCGCTGGCGCCTGTCACACTGGCGCCTGTCGTGCTGGCGCCTGTCTCGCTGGTGCCTGTCGCGCTAGCGCCTGCCGCGATGGCGCCTGTCACGCTGGCGCCTGTCGCGCTGGCGCCTTTCACGCCGGTGCCTGTCGCGATAGCATCTACCGCGATGGCGCCTATCGCACTGTCGTTTAACACGCTGGCCCCGAGTGTGCTAGTGCCTGTTGCGTTGTCCCGTTTGCAAGATCCCTTAGGGCATGTAAGGCGGGACAACAGACCCAGTGCATCCGAAAAAATCAGGCGACGGAAATCGTTTCATAAGTGTGGGATTTCCCCAGGTCACCCTCATGGGGTTAGCCCTAAGTTCCCACCAAGACACCCGCAGGTTACCTTTCATGGCAGGCGACTGTGGCGACGTGGTAATGCACGTAGTTGCATTTCGGGAAAAGGTTGCTGACCAATCAGGTTCGCGCTCGAATCGTTGTAACCTAGTGGGTAACCCTCCAGCTTCGGAGGGAGCTTCAACTTGAGTTTGGTTTTCCCACCTGGTTGGGGTTTCACCTCTAATTGCCTGCCTTTCCGAACCTATTTTTCCCGCTTTGACTCTGTTGAGCAATTCGGGTATTGCCCTTTAAAGCCCGAGTCTAGAATGGCAAAGGTTCATGTTCATGATTCTTGAAGCTGAAATCCCCAAAAACAGGGTTACCTGGTTTAGGCCTTCCGCACCCTCGCGACCACCGGAAACTTAGTTTCCTAACACTGATGTTCTAACTATCTGGTACTTACATACGCTCAACCTGCTCCAAGAGTGCACTTGTGGGCTTGGTAAAAATCTGAGTTGTCAGCTGCGTGAAGGGTTGGGATTTGTTTTTTCGTGTTTGTTCAAGTTTCTTGAAGTTGAAGTTGAAGTTGCTATACACTGTGGGACAATCCGCCTTCGCCACCTGCCTCTGGCGAATTCTCCTCTCGTCAACCTTCGCACAACTGTTTTCAAGTTCAGTATTTATGTACCCTTACCATTCTAGGTGCGGGCTTTAAAACACGAGTTCGTTTATGGGATATCCATTTGTAACATTGGATGAAATCAATTACTTCCGTCATACCCTGGGTATATCCCCAGGCCTATGTTACACCCGTGCGCTTATAATCGTACAAGTGGGTGTTAAGGCGAAGCCCTGCACGCGCCTGGTTTCGCGTGTAGCAGCCTTGTGCGGAGTAGCGAGACTTCGCATACCACATACCGGTTTTGCAGACCAGATTGGAGGGAAGTGACGACATTGCACAAACGAGTATGTGCAACTGTCTGTTGCGAGCACCTGCACAGCTACTCCTAGGCAGGTAGAAAATACACGTGACGGTATTTTCACCTGATGGTATTTTCACCTGGCGGTGCCAACCTGAAAACCGCATACTAGAGTAGGTGCTTGCACGTTCTCCTTGAACAACATTCTTCATAAACAATGTTCTCGTAGAACGTTCTCGCACACGTCACTATGCTTCTTTATAAGGTACATGTTGATTCTGTTGTAATCAATCAATTAATGAATTTCGTTCTTTCCGTTACTGCATACCAAGTTTGGCATAAGTATTCGGTTTCCAACAAGACAGTATTCAGTTTACGAGTATCAGATTTGCAACTCTGCGCCTAGGCTCTCCCATAATAGCCTATTCTCCGCATGGTGCGGTGAGCGTGGACGGCCCCACACGCGAACTTCAGATAGCCTCGTATACGATTGACGAAGTTGTCAACCTTAGACCGGCAGCCACTTCGATTCCGTATGGCAGGCGAGGGCGCTGCAACGGAAGTCATGGACATGGAAGCACAGGTCACTGCTTTGCGAGAGCGCCACAGTGGTGGCGAAATCAACGCCATGGATCTGGAGCTGATGATCAAAGGACCTCGTGCGAAGTGGGCTCGCGATTACCCACCTCATCGCGCTAATGCGGAAATTGAGTTCGCTTCTCCCCGTGCTGAAGGCAACAACGTCAACATCGATGGCATTGAAGGCGCAAGAGTTACGCGTGGTAAACTGCGAGGAGCCGTCAGAGTGAACACCACGAGCGTAAGTGGAACGCAAGCGCAAGTTCTTCGGTCAGCCGCCGCAGCAAGTGCGCGTAGTGACGCGCACGATCGTCGCAACTTTGCATGACAATTGGTGGCGGTCCCTCGTGGACGGCGAAAGCGTCAACTGCACGCAATGGTGGCATTGCTCCAGAATACGGATACTTTAAGTTCTCACCCGACAAAATCGTCGTGTCGAAATTGCTCGAACGATGTCACGTCTTGACAACGTGGATCGGTCCATTGAGCTGCACTTGGAAATTGCACAGCTGAAGAAGTTCGTTGACGCCATGGTGGAGGTGACGCCTTAGGAGGACGCTGAACGGCGCGCATTGTTTCATTTTGCACAGCTATTGACGTTTATGGCCATCTCAAGGTATTGCTCGCCGGTCATCTAAGCTGCATTGAAGCCTTGTCGTCTTCGGGTGGACGCAGGTTTTCAAGCTTGGCAAAACATAATGAAGACCTACAAGGCAACGGATGACCTTTGCATAGGATAGCAGGAGCAGCGGCAGGAGCACGAAAGCGTAACTGCATACTGCAATCGCGCACAGGAGATTCTTGCAGATCTGCGTATGGCCGGTGTTGACTACTCAATGTCTTCGTACGTCACGCAAGTCATCAAATGTCTGCCTGCGAGCTACAATCTCCTTCGACACATGGTGAAACTCCCAAGTGTATGGGAAGAGCTTGATGAGGATATACTTTCCAGCTACATCATTGAAGAGCAGTTCACACTTGTGTCAGAGGTCCACTGGGGATCCCCGATGATCCTAGGGAAGGGTTACAGGCATGTCGGCCTGGGGGGTTATGGGCGCACTCACCCGCTACACAAACAAGCCCTTTTATCCCAGTGGTTAGTGACTGGGATTCTGACATGGTATCAGAGCGAAGGTCTCGGGTTCGAATCCCGGTGTGTGCACCTCGGGCATCCCAGTGCGGGGGGGTGTCAGAGGTCCACTGGAGATCCCCGATGATCCTAGGGAAGGGTTACAGGCACGTTGGCCTGGGGGGTTATGGGCGCACTCACCCGCTACACAAACAAGCCCTTTTATCCCAGTGGTTAGTGGTTGGGATTCTGACATGGTATCAGAGCGAAGGTCTCAGGTTCGAATCCCGGTGTGTGCACCTCGGGCATCCCAGTGCGGGGGGGTGTCAGAGGTCCACTGGAGATCCCCGATGATCCTAGGGAAGGGTTACAGGCACGTTGGCCTGGGGGGTTATGGGCGCACTCACCCGCTACACAAACAAGCCCTTTTATCCCAGTGGTTAGTGACTGGGATTCTGACATGGTATCAGAGCGAAGGTCTCGGGTTCGATTCCCGGTGTGTGCACCTCGGGCATCCCAGTGCGGGGGGGTGTCAGAGGTCCACTGGGGATCCCCGATGATCCTAGGGAAGGGTTACAGGCATGTCGGCCTGGGGGGTTATGGGCGCACTCACCCGCTACACAAACAAGCCCTTTTATCCCAGTGGTTAGTGACTGGGATTCTGACAACTTGAATCCAAGCGGCGCAAAGAGAAGCTTCTCCCTCAAGTCAACTATGTCGCGTCGAAGCAACAGCGACAGCAACAAAAGTGGGGGAAATCGCGTGGGGGAGGCGACAATGACAAACAAGTCAACCGCGCGAAGATGACCAAGAGTGATGAGCGTTTCTGTGGCAGAAAGCGCAACTCTCAGTGATACTGCTTCGATTGTGGAGATCCCGAGCACTTCTCGAACCAGTGCCCCGACTACGTCAACAAGGAAGATGGCGATGGTTAGGAAGCTCCGCGCGGACGATCGCAGAACCGTCAACCTCGTCGCGAAACCGCAAACCATAAGGACAACCAGCACTCTGATTCCGAGGACGAGCAGCCGTCGGATGTCGGAACCTCCCACGGAAAGGGTGCGAAGGAGGCTCTAAGTAACGATGGCACCACGAAGGGCAAGCGTCGTGTTTGATGGTCGTCGTTGTGATGGACACATCTGCGGAACCGACCATTTCCTTGGCTCCGAAAGCTGGCGAGGACTTCCAGGTGTTAGCTGCAGCGATGCAAGCGAATCCGACCGTGTTCCTCCTCGACAGTGGTTGTTCTCATCACCTTATGGGGACGCGTGAGGCATTTGTGGATATGAATGCGGAAGGCGACGCTCACCATGTGTGTGGATTCTGTGGCTCTATTCAGCTTGCTCAAGGTCGCGACACAATTGCGCTTCATGGGGCAGCGGGCACGAAGGTTCTCATCCCCGATGTGCTGTATGTGCCTGGTGTACAGGCAAATATGCATTCAGTAGGCCAGTTGAAGGACAGTGGTGTGCAGTTTCAGGACACCGGTGACGTTTCACTTCTCATATCTGCTGAGGGAGTTGTTCTCGGTCGTGCGTGCTACACCGGCCGCATCCTCTGCACCGACCTCCGTCCGTGTTCATCGCTGCCAAGCTCTACCCTCCCACCAGTGTACCCGGGTATTGTACCTGTCACCAAACCGTCAACCTCCTCGCCTGTTGTCGTTACTTCTCCACTACCAGCTACGGAAAGACACTCTCGTCCCACCGCCGATACTCCGTCCAAGTCGGCCGTCGACGATGAGGGGACGCGCTACCTTTGGCGCCACACACTGGCATCGTCGACGATCGACTGGCTGATATGCAGAAACCGGCGCCTGGTATGCAGAGACCGGCGCCTGGTATGCAGAAACCGGTAGGGGAGCAGATGACAGGGGAGCAGACCAGCAATAGCTCTTCGAGCGACGTTGTGGAAGTCATCGGCGAAGTTGCAGGGGAGTTGTCTAGAGACAGTTCTTGTAGCGATGTGGTGGAAATCAAGCAACCGGCACGGCATTCCACCCGATCCAACTTTGGTGTGCCCGCTATTCGCTAACACGCTTCTTTATGACGCAAAAGCGGATACCACGCTGCCCGAACTGGATCCCAAGAAACACGCTGACCCTTAACGCCCATGGGATATCGCGACGATGACCGTCAAGGAAGTGCTTACGTACATCCCGATTAGCGAGCAACCCACAGATTATTTCACGAAGGCGCTGCATTCCCCGACATTTAAGCAATGCTCGGTCACCGTTGGGCAAGTTGATCTTGCAGACGGCGCGCGTGACAACGCGCAGGATTAGGTCCCATGTTCTTCAACATGGCTGGGGCGGTAAGTATGCATGTGCGGAAAACATACAAACGAGTATCAGGATCGTCACTCTGTTGTACTCTTTTATTTCTTATTTGCTTTGCGTGGTGTGCTAACTCCTCAGTTGCCCAGGCACGAGCAGGGCAGGGGAGTGTTGAGGCGAAGCTATGCACACACCTGGTTTCGCGCGTAGCATCCTTATGCAGAGTAGCGAGACTTCGCACACCACATACCGATTTTGCTTACACGTATTGCGGAATTCGCCAAGTACACTCCTATCGTGCATTTCGATATGCACAATTCGACATTGGACCAGATTGGAGGGAAGTGACGACATTGCACAAACGAGTATGTGCAACTGTCTGTTGCGAGCACCTGCGCAACTACTCCTGGGCAGGTAGAAAATACACGTGACGGTATTTTTACCTGATGGTATTTTCACATGGCGGTGGAACCTGGAAACCACATACTAGAGTAGGTGCTTGCACATTCTCCTAGAACGTTCTCATAGAATGTTCTCGCACACGTCATTATGCTTCTCTTTAAGGTTCATGTTGATTCTGTTGTAATCAATCAATTAATGAATTTCTTTCTTTCCGTTACTGCATACCAAGTTTGGCATCAGAATTCGGTTTCCAACAAGTTAGTATTCGGTTTACAAGTATCCGGTTTGTAACTCTGCGGCTAGGCTCTCCCATAATCGCCTATTCTCCGCAGTGGGCTTATAGCCGGTTGCCGATTATAAGCCCACCCTAAATTTGGATCATCTTCGTATAAGCGCACCCAATGAATTTTTACTCCAATCTCTGTTTTTCTAGTGAGTTTGCCACAGTCGCGCTCATGTTAGCCTCATTTCAGTACGTGATGGCAGGGATTTTTGCCAGGGCGGCACATTCTCGATGAATTTCAGATCAACATTTTTTGTGCTAGTCTCGATTGAAACTGCAAGGCTGAGATCCACATTTCTATGCGTTAATATCATATTAAAATAACCACATTATAAGCCCACCCACCATTTTTCCAGGCTTTTTTATACCCCCACCTACATAGTATATCCGGGGTATGATGGTACTATGTTGGTGCTCACACATTTATGTATAGTGAATGAAAGGATTTCCCATTTACAAACTGCGAATTACATAAAAAAGACTCAAATTAAGAGATATTAGCAAACAACTATTGCGGGCTGACATTGTCCAAACTATGCTCAAAGTCATTATGCTGGTTCGCACAACTGCTCCATGTTAACATTTTCACAGAAAAATGTGAGAAAGATTGTCAACAGCATGCAGCATTCACAACAAAATCAGAAAGGTTACAGTCATATCATATGACACCTATCCCTCACAATGTACGGTAACACAACACGCATGAGACAAAAACGCTATCATTTAAGTATGGGACAATTGTATAGCTAGTTCCACCTATCGTTTAAACACCACAGACATAGGCATCGCTTAAATGGCTGCGCATTATCAAACACCAACATAGCGCAGGCCATCCGCCAAGTTATTCAAAAGCCACACATACAGTGATCAAAGGACTGGGTGATATGTACAACCCGACGAAGGTAAGCAATAGGAACGATCACACAAAGATCCGGATTCATAACTTGTGTGTTCTGACTTTGTTTTATCAACTCTTGGTGCGGTTAAATAGGGTTGCTATTTCATTTTTTTTTAGCGGGTATTTGTGTATCTTTGGTTTACATAATAGAGCACAAAGCAACGCGTACAAACATGATTGGGTACCATCGAACAGAATTCTCCATGTTTGCGTTGCAAAGCCTGTTTACCTACACAAATCTGTCGCGATTGATATCGAAAAAGGACCATGTTCCCCTAAAAGAGAGTAGGCCATCAAAAGAAATGAGAATGTAATTTAAAAATAGACCACAAAGCAACTCTTACAAAAATGGCTCGCTAGGCTTGAACAGATGTCAGACTCCGTGTTTCCTACACAAATGA